CAATATATAGTATATATATTTATTTTACTCATAACACTGCTTTTAGTTTATGATAGGGAGAGTGATGAAGCTTCTATCTTCAAAGAGCTAGGTATCTAGAACTATAAAAGGGAAATATAACAACAAAAACACTGTCGCAACAAATAAAGCATTGCCTGATTTTATATTCAAAGAAAGCATATCTTCTGTAATATTTTTGTGTTTAACTTCTAATTGAAAATAAATACAGCTGTGATGGTATGAATCTTTGTCACTGAATCTAAATGTACAAGATTAGTGTATGTTAATAGCAAGCAAAGAACTTAACAACATAGGAACAATTTCTGTAGGGAGCAAAAAACCTCCTAATTTATGATTCAATTAACTTTTAGTGTTTGTATTATCTGTTGTCATTCTCGATGATTCAATTATATTTGTATGACATTTCTTGTGTACAAAAAACTTTTATACTTGAATCATTGTTTTCATTTAAAACATTTTTCTCATAGGTTTCTCTTAGGTTTTATTGCTTTTAAATAAAGACTATTTTCGTTATTTTTATCATTTGTCAGTGTTAACTACAATGTATTTAGTATTTCCAGAGAATGGTGTGTCGTTGCATTCATTCCATATCGGTTTTTGTCAAATACAATTAATATTTATAATTTAGTGGATCGCTCTGGCATTAATACCAAATCAATATATGTATATCTTGACAATTTTCTCAACTTAAATGAACGAATTTCTTGCAATTAAAAACATATGTAACATAACTCTTTATGTCGCTATGATATGTTTTAGAATTTAGATCATCCAGGATTTTCTCGCAACATCAATTGAAGTGAAAGATGCAAAGTCCAAGACTGGAGATGTAAAAGTCCTCATCAATACAGCGCTGGACATCTCCAGCGGTGGCCTTTGTATCTACAGCGTTTGATTATATACCTCCAGCGCTAGACTTTACCTGTACAGCGCTATATTTTTAATGTATCGGCAGCGATAGACTTTACATTTGCAGCGCTGGACTTTATATCATTTACAGCGCTGGGTTTTACATCATAAGCGCTGTACTGAATATCTTCAGACCTGGACTTTTCGTCTGCAGCGCTCGACTTTAAAACCTCAGCCTGGGATTTACATCTTCAGCGCTGACTTTAAATTTTAGGCGCTAGACTTTACATATGTTTGAATAATACACTTACCAATACAAGAAAAAGAAACATCAAAAACATTTCGTATCCTCTCACAATTATCCCACAATGAAGAGGATGTGTTCAAAATAACAGGTCGACATCCTTGTTTACCATTGCACACGGTTTTTACTGTGTGCTGAATTTTTTCCATGCAAACTTTCAATAAGTCAGTTTCCTGACAGAATGAGATGTTTGTTTTTGATGTGACGGATTGTATATCAATTGTCCTATATTTGCCTTTACAGGCAATGGAATCCGTATCGAAAGGACACAATTCTTCGGTAAAACTAAGTATCTTGTGTTCTTCTTTTTCATCTACATGCAGAGGAATTATAACATAAATATGTATATAAGGAATAACATTTAATAAAAAGTTGCCGGAATTTTGTTTTATCATTATTGACGTAGTAAACGTTAAACTTTGTAGGCATAGAAGAACAAGCATTTGAATAAACTTTTAATCAGTAGCTAGTATACTAATCCAATAAAAAATTAAGATTACATAACCTTTTAGCTAAGATCCACAAGAACTTGAACATCAGTTGTGAAAGGGGATTTATTTTTTAGTTGATTCTGTGGTTTATGAAATACGCATTTATGTCCATTTACCACAATCTGTTTATTACAATTGTTTGTCTTTTTAAAAACATAAATGTACTTAGGAACACAGTTATAGTCTATAATTAGTTTCCTTGTTCTGTCAATTACTAAATGTGACATATTTATCATCAAAGATGTAAGTGTGCATGAGTTCTTTCCAATACAGGACGAGTTAGATTCTGTATTTAAATGCACGTTCCCATCCGTTATATTTGACTCACTGCACACATTTTTAATGTCAACCGTTGAGACATTAACCTCATTTATAATCGAGTAGTCTTGACAAGAAATGTCTACACTTGAATGTTCACAAAGAATTCTCTCGTATGTAGATACTGTGAATATATATGTTTAAATAACATAAATAAGTAATGATATTTTCATTATAGATTATAATAAAACCGATTTATTATGAAAATAGATATGTAAAAGGAAACACTTGAAATAACTATGTAAATCAAATCACAAGACAAGGAAACATGTTTTATGATGATATTAGTAAATGTTCTCTCTCTCTCTCTCTTATTTTGTTTTTGTTTGTTGATATTTGTTTTAAAAGACAATTAGATTGGACAGGCTTAGAAATAACGTTTACAGTGGGCTTCTTATTAACTTATTGATTCTTATTGTTTTATAATTGCTTCATCTTCAAAATTATTGTTTCTATTTACTTTGCCGTTTTCGAATCTATAGGACTTTAGTTAATATCATTGTAAGTGCACCAAACTGAACATCAATCAACACGTTGTGGTATTTTGATTATTACAGCAGATAGATTCCTTCGGTAGGAAAACTGACAATCATAGTCAATTAAGATTGGAGTCGAGCACACCTGTCACGTGCGGGATTCGAACTCACAACCTCAGTGTTGACAGGCTAATGATACAGTAGTTCGAATACTTAGTCAACTCGGCCACCAAGGCCCCTTTCAGAAATCGAAGTTGAATCGGTATGATACACTTACCGTCCAGATCTTGATAGAAAATACAATTGATGAACATCCTAATTTTTACGGAGATGTTGTTTACCGAGCCCGGAAATTTAGATACGATCCGGGTTAACTTATTGATCCTTTAAATAAACTTATTCTAAAAGGTAACCAATTCAACACGGTAATTAGATCTTTGAATATTGTTTTTTTGGTATTCATATTGACTTTGTTATCAGTAAATCAAAATCAAACTAAATATTGTTTTTATATACTTATATACATTCATGGCTCTACAATCTGTCTATACCTGTATCTTGGCATTGCACAAGGAAATGTTTTTCTCTGACTGTTAATGACGTCCGTATACTAAATCCATTGGATGTTGGATGTGTACTGATTGATATTTTAGTCTTAGATGCATGATTTTTTTATTAGTTGTTTATTGGCTTTGAACTAGCTGTCAGTAACTGCGAGTACTCTCAGATATGTACTTAGTGTCTTTTTGTGGTTGTGCTGTATAAGTACCCTGCCACGTCTACTCTGTGTTTTTGTTAGATGTATTTCTATTTGTATCCATCTGATGAGTTAAGCCTTTTTAAACCTGATTGTTCTTATGTTGTACTGTACACCACTGTCCCAGGTTAGGAGGAGGGTTGGGCGACCGCTAACATGTTTAACCCCGCCACATTCTGCATGTGCCTGTCCCAAGTCAGGAGTCTGTAATTCAGTGGTTGTCGTTTGTTTCTGTGTATCATATTTGATTTTCGTTCATTATTTTGTACATAAATTAGGCCGTTAGTTTTCTCGTTTGAATTGATTACATTTGTGATATCGGGGACTTTTATAGCTGACTATGCGGTATGGGTTTCGCACAATGTTGAAGGCCGCACGATGACCTATAGTTGTTAATTTCTGTGTCATTTGGTCTCTTGTGGAGAGTTGTCTCATTGGCAATCATACCACATCTTCTTATTTTTATATGATAATATTAAAACAATGTTTCCAAAATTAACATATACAGTGTATAAAATTACAAATGTAATACGAGCAAAAATTCTGGATGGTAGTTCCTGATAAAAATTTAAATAAGAGTATAATTTTCTTCAATCGTTTTCCCTGTCGATGGGTTTACTTTGGAATCAATAACGTTTGAAGTTCAATCCATTTGATAGTTTCACCTCAATTTGTGTCTATTTATATTTGGTTTTATGGCTGAAAATGGTATACTTGTATTATAGTATCATGTTTAATGAAGTACATGTAAGTTCAACACCTTCTATGCTTAACATCAATTGTCTCCTTTATTACTATCTACGTACTATAATGTAATAAAATGCTTTAAAATCCACACGTAGTATAGGATTTAAATGTGATTATGAAATGTCAATATTTCAAGAAAAGTGTAGCCTGTGTTAAAGATACAACATTGTCTAAATCGCAAATGCCTGGCATGGAGGACTATGCACTAGATTTAATTAAGTTCCTATTTTGTACATGTAGTTGACATAGGAAACAAGAATTTTACCGTCCTTTTCCTTCCTTTTTACTTTCTATGGTATTAGTGAAAGCTATTTTGTCACCTTTTATTTTATATAATTGATGTTAGTTGGAAGAATGAACACAAGGTCGGTAACACATACAATGTACTCTATATGGTATCATTCGAAAAGTCTGGATGCAAATTATGTTTTTCAAAAACAACGAGAAAAATTATGTTAACAGAATTTTATTTAAAAAAATCAATGATTTGAATATATACCAAAATGATTGTCTTACCTCTGAATGAGTTTGCACATGATATCAGTACAGCAATACACGTGTATGGTAGTAAACTTTCTGTCATTTTGTTAACAGAACTTATTTCGACTGTGGATTCCCTTAAGGAAGTTTCTAATCTTTATCAGTGCATATATATTTTATTTCAAGTCGTAAAATGATTTTATTATAGTTGTTTTTTGTGTGTGTCGTTATGTACTTAGTATCAAGCCACAAGTCGTAAAAATTATTGTTAGTACATTTTGTCATTTTTCGTAGTGATTAAAACATTTTGTCAAATAAAAATGTTTTATTTTCTTGTACTATGATGAAGCATTTTTAACGAAAACTACTGCCCTATACTATTTATTTGTTCGCCTTTCTCTATGGGCTAAGTAAACGTTTTATTCTTTTTTTTTTGCCTCCGCCAAACAACCTACTGTTTTGTGTTGAATACGCCAACAACACATCTAACTAACTACATAATAAAGTCAGAATTACATTTCTAAGCATGATCAGCTAACATGATGTTTAATAAAAAATAAAGATGAAATAAGTATTTATTAGTAGTATCATATGCACCGACTTGGAAATATATCACACAGCAATTCTTAATATAACGCCTTTTTGTTTGTAAAACTACTGAAAAAGACAGTTAATTTTTTTTGCTAGAATTGTTTGAGATATTTAAGGTTTCATTGCTTTTACAGTGTCATGTGTTTGTTTCACTACGGCAGTGGTCGTATGTTTGATTGACAATGTCTTCCGGTCTAATGTTGGAAGTAATATTATACATGGAATCATCACTTCTATTGTATAAACCTTTGTGTTGATCGGGAAAGTCTGCATGTCTTGAAATGTCATACGAGTACTTGTCGTCATCAGTAAAATGTGTAGATGCGTCGGAATCTTCTATTGGTTTAGACAGTTCATAATGATTGACATTCATATTTGGGGTATCATATTCTATCGAAGCGGAAGACGTATTACAGTTGCTCACATAGGAATATGGATCCGGAGATAGCTCTTCATGTACATCCGCTGTTCCGATTACCGAATCACCAGCAGTATAACCCTTGTGTTCCTGTGTTGGAATATGTTGTCGATGTGATAAACATGGAATGACGGCATCGGGATTCTCGTATGTTTTATTCGTCACAGTTTTGCAATTCAACTTTTCGTAAGACGTATTAGTATGTGTAGTGTCTGCATCCGTATAGTGCGATCGACTTTGGACAGTGTCGCGGTCTTTTCTGTAATAACCAGAATTACTCGTTAAAATATCAATTACAATAATAATTATTTCATCGCACATTTTGTGACAGATTTAATGCTTTAATTGGTTAATTACAAAAGTAAGATAATGATATATTACTGTGTCACGTCGATAATCTGCAAAAATTAGTATGACAAAACGTGTTTCTTATCCCGAGCGGTGTAGTTTATTGATAATAAGCCTCGGACGTATTAATTTTTTAAGAAAGGGAGGATGTGCCTGTCTTAAGTCAGGAGCCTCTTCTTTTTTTCTCAAGAAAACATACCTATTCATTGCTGTATCACAGTCTATTAAATAGAATTTGAAGAAATGCACAAAGTTGTCACTTGGTATCAAGTATAGAGGCATTGTTTTTGTGATATGTTTCGTTTGGTTGAAATCTCATTGAAATATGCCACTCATATCATTTTATTTATACTCGCAAAATAACTTTAAAATAAATAATTACCTTTTTGCAAACCAAAATTTTACAAAGAGGGCACCAAGAATGAGGACTACTCCTGCCGTGACACCAACAGAAACGCCTAAATTTGCAATACAAATACTGTTTTAATTTTGATAATTAAATTTATTGACAGATGCTAACATGTTATTGTTATCCTCAAATAATATATGAAACTAGCATGTTAAAGTGATACGAATATACAACCACTTATTTTAATATCAAAACGTTGAGCCTAAATTTTAACGTCACGTCGTACTTGCTAACTCAAAGACATCTCGCTCTACTCGGACACATTCCAACACTACACCGACCAGTGTTTGCTCTTTATCCTACCAAGGGCGTGTATATCAGTTTCAAAACTTTTAAATGACCCGGCAGGAAATGCAACACATGGACTATCTCAAGCATGTCTAAAACGCTAACATTAGACAACCAATTTTGTTTTTAAAATATGAAAGATAAAAGTAATACAGTGACCTGTAATTGTTTACATCTTTGTACTTTTGGTCTCTATTGATAGCTGTCTCATTGATAATCATACCACATCTCCTTACTTCTATACATTTTTGTTTTGTAAGAAAAAGAACTGGTGCAGAAAACAACCGGTGATTTTGCTTTTTTAGAAACATTATGTATTTTATTTTAAAATAGCAGAGAGAAATTATCATTAAAAGGAATCGTTTGACAGAATAGTAAGAAAATATCAGTACCTGCAATATTATACTTATTTTCTATTGAATTTTCATTTCGACTCTCTGAAAATAGAGTAAATGAATACACAAGTAAAGACATTTAACTGCATTTCATACAATTCAAATAATAAATGTTATATAAAAAACAAGACAATAGAGCGATTTTTTGATGGATTAAATAATTTGGAAGTTAAGATAAATAACGCACCGTTAACCTTCAGTTTTTTCCGTAGATTTTTCTGTTCTCTATATAAATACATACTTTTATGAAACAAACATGAATGTTATGTTTCCTTTGAAGCATATTGTCTTTCCGTTCATGAAGTGTAGCTTCGGTTGTAGTCTTTATATACTTATCTTTAAAATACATTTTGATTGAAATTGCAAAAAGATGCTTTTTTTGGTAATTTTGTCGTTTGTTCTCTTCTCTGTTACATGTACCCCATAACGCCTTTTATTATAATCAACGAAAATCCAGTAGGTAAATATTTTTTAACAATTTCTCCAAAATATCACGATCAGTTGTCTTTAATTTATTCATTTTACCAGAATAAACCCACACTTACCAAATCCAACATAAGTAATCGTTGTTGTTAATTTTAGTTAAATAATTTAGATGGACAAGTCGAGCTCCTAGTGAAAGTCAAATCAGAAAAGCACTTCGGACGCACAATATTTATTGATTCGCATTACGGTGCGAAGCTATTAGTTTCAGTCGATGTATCCGCCATCTTTATATTTTTTCTAAATAAATATTACTTCTGATTTGTTGCTTAGTTGTGTTGCTAAGATTCCGTTGTTTTTAATGAGTTATAAAATTAGGAACACGTCAGGAAGAGTTAGATGTATGGTGGTAATTTATCGTATGTGCTTTGGGAATAGACCCTCTTTTTCTATATATTTTCATTTCATGTTTTAATTTTTTTACTAAATAATCCTTGATACTTTAACTTATTTTCACTTATTGGATGTGTTTTTGCACTTATCCATACTATTTTACCATAACAGTAGCTTATAGAATAATGATGAAAATAAGAATACAGAGGCGTCTCATAATAAACAACTGTCACTATAGAATCGCATGCATAAGACCAAAACCACATAACAAATAATTGAAACAAGTTGAAACATTTAGGAATATTTACTTAATATTTTTTTTAAAAACTGTTTTTTTTTTTTAAAAATCGGGGGTATTTGAGCGCCTGTGATTCTTGACCAAAGACCTGAGCCTATTCCTTGTGAGGTCGCATTTTGTATCATATTAATATTAATTATAACACTGACAGCCAAAAAATTTTGGGGAAACATTACCTGCCAGGTAAATGAGATACAATGTACAGAGGATGGATGCACATGGGTGAAAGATGCCCTTACGGTATTTGCAGTCACTATATATATATATATATATAGTCAGATTTAAAGTTACCTTTACATGTAAACGTAATTTTTGCTCTCTTCGGTATCTTTATGCATTCATCTAGAGTAGATATAGAAACTAGATCGCACCTTCGTTTTGTATTGCAAGATGATTTTACATCTTCTTCAATCCGCTTTCTACACGTGTTATTTAGGTCTGGTGTTGAACAAACAAATGTCTCCTGTGTTAGATTTACAGCTAGAACGAGTAGTCGTCTGTTCGGTTGGTTACACACTACAGAAGATATATCTAAAGGACATACGGTTTTATCCGGTCTTGAAATATTGACACTAGTTCCCACTGAAACAGTAATAAGTCACGTTGTATTATTGGATTTCCAGTGAATACATGTGCAGTATATGTTCTTCTTTATAATTCGTTTAATATGATTAAAAGAAATCTTATACAGATGTGATGGAATTTTTCTAGGGTGTATCATGAAATTCGTTTATTTGTTTTTATCTCAAAAAATTTGAAATTAAATGAACGTTTGTGCACCAATTATTTAGCCTTGATTTTAGTTTATGTCGATAGCTGAAAAAGAGGGTCGCCAGATGATGTAGGAAATATACAGAGAAATTCTTTTGATCCAGAAAATTTTGCCTTCTTTCACAAATAAATAAAAATAATGGGTCACTAAGTATTCAAGTAGTTAAACAACACTTTTAAAGACGATATTAAGTACTTAAGCATTTTAATGTCTGAAATATTTGCGGCAGAACAATGACCCCATTTCTGTGAATATTGATCACTACATTTACTTCGTCACTCCTGTTCAGTCACCTGACGTTGAAATAACCTTTTCCCCACTCCCAGTCTGTATTGTTAGGTTGATGTCTCATTGTGGTGTCGGTTACATGTGATCGTATGTATAATATTGAGTTGGACTGTCTAATATTGTTTAAAAATTCATTACTTACGAACACAGTTAAATTTAACGTGAAACTTCCTAGTTCTTCCCAAACCCGTATAATATGACATGTTTATCATTTTGCCTGTTAACTCACAGGACTTTCTACCAATACAAGATGATATAGGTTCCTGATTCCATGATTTGGTATCATCTGCAGTGTCTGTTGGTAGACTACTGTAACAACTCTCTTCGTCTACATCAGAAGACGCAGTTATATTTATATCGTCTACTAATTTTTCCATAGGACACTGTAGTTTCACACTTGAATTTTCGCATAGCAATCTTTCATATATGTTTTCTGTAAAGACAAACTTATAATATTATTTTTCAATATTTGTAAATGATCTTTAATTTCATGCAAAATACATAGGATTTTGGAAAGTTAAAACTACCTTAAAAATACTCATAAAAAAAATTACAGGTATTATATTTTGGTACTTCAGACGCACGTTTCGTCTACATAAGTCTCGTCAGTGACGCTCGAATCAAAACAGTTGGAAGGCCAAATCAAATACGGTGTAAAATTAATTCTTTTTATTTAAACTTACCCTTTTCATTGTACTTATTGTTGCTTTTGAGGATGCCATGGTAGTGACATTGTCTCGTAAAAGAAGGCACTTTTATATGACATCCACAAGAACACTTTCATAAAATTAAGAAGATGCGGTATGATTGCCAATGAGACAACTCTCCACCAGAGACAAAATGACATAGAAGTTTATAACTATATGTCACCTTGTGGCTTTCAACAAATAGCAAAACCCATATTGCATAGACATCAATCATAAAATGGGAACTGACATTACTGACCATCAATAAATATACTAAAACTCAGATCGAACAACTGAGTGCCCGATTTCGATAAATGCACCTTTAGTAAAGTCTTGAGATAAATGATAGTGAGAAAGAGAAAAAAAATATAATAATTTTACAAACTTTAAAAAGGAATTGCTAAAAGGTGTCTATAAATGATTAGCGGCATCAAAAATACCAAACGACTATTCATATAATAAAGCAGATGTTTTATGATTGCAATAAGACAAATCTCCACAAGAGACCAAATGACACAGAAATTAACAACTATAGGTCACCGTACGACCTTCAACAATGAGCAAAGCCCATACCGCATAGTCAGCTATAAAAGGCCCCGAAATGACAAATGTAAAACAATTCAAACGAGAAAACTAACGGTCTAATTTATATACAAAATAATGAACGAAAAACAAATATGTAACACAGCAAAAAACGACAACCACTGAATTGCAGGCTCCAGACTTGGGACAGGCACATACAGAATGTACGTATTATCAGTAATGGACTTCTGGTATTATTCGATTCCTCTCTGCAATAAATCTCCCACTATTTCATTACTGTGTTTAATTCTTTGCTAACGGTAACCAGTAACAAAGAGCACAACAACAATAGATTTTAAATTATTACTAAGGGAGCTACCATTTGATTTTTATGGGGGGGGGGGGGGGTGGGGGGGGGGGGGGGGGGGGGGGTGGGGGGGGGTGGGGGCTAGGATGAAAAATGTTGTCCTGCATTTTTTTTTTAGTTGTAATCTCTGTCCTGCCTTTTAATTTTTTTCTCTATTCGGTCCTGCCTTTTTTTTAATAGTTTATCCTGACTTTTTTTACATAAATTGTCATCCTGCCTTTTTTATTTTTGCCAAGTTGCTCATCCTGCCTTTTTTTTTTACTCAAAACTCCTGTCCTGCCTTTTTTTTTTTAAATTTCATCCTAGCCCCCTCCCCCCCCCCCCCCCATAAAAATCAAATGGTAGCTCCCTAACTTGATCTGAGTTATTATAATACCGCTTTGTACTACGTACATTACTTTTTTTTCAAGTAAAAAGGACGCAAGGTTGAAAATCACACAATTTTAAAATTTTCATGGCCTCAACCAGCCTCAACATTTATTTTCGAAACTTATATTGTCAGTAAATGATACAACATTTAAAACGAAAAACGCTCGCACAGAAAATTAAAAAGAATTAACACCAAACATGCGATCATCACGAAAAAGAGTCAAATACGGAATGCCTACATGCAGTTTTGTCACTCTACAGATAACTAGATTTCTAAAAGATATAAAAGACCCATTTCACTTAATTTTCGAATATTCTAAATCTAAAGGCAAACATGTGATAAAAAAATTCAGACGCACTTGAATGGACAAAAGAAAAGTCAGTCCCTCGTTATAAAAATAAGGAGATGGCCAATGGGACAACTGTCCACCATAGTTAAAGTAATGCTTATGCTAGCAACTATATGCCACATTACGAACTTCAACAATGAACAACCCCAACGGTTGACTGGGGTTGACTGGGGTATAGAAATATAGTCATCCTTTCGTCTTCTTCCGACCGGCAGTTAAACACTAGTCAAAGTGGTGCGTCCGATTGGCTGTGCGAGATGTATCTTAATTTGCAACCACGTCCGGTCAGAATGGAGACGATAAATCCGTTGCCACGTGTAGACAGATTGACATACTCTCTGTACGTTAAGAACCATTGCAGCAAATTTTGTAGGGGTCCGTAGGTGGCCTGTTGCTTGGCTTAATTTTGTTCCTATCTAATATACTCTCATTTCCCGCTTGAATTCCAAATTCCCCGTCCTTCATCCCACCTGATCCCTTATTACCTACCTATTGTATTAATTGTTAATTTGTTCTCGTTCTGAACATGCATGAAATATTTGACACTGGACGTGAAGCAAACAACAATCCATCAATCTACAATGAGTAAAACCTATGCCGTATAGTCAGCTATAAATGCTGCCATTAAAAAAATATGTAAAAAAATTAAAACAAGAAAACGAACGGCTTGATTTATGATAAAACAATTAAGATAAAAAAACATGACAGATAGCAAACGAACGACAACCATTAGTTAGGATAGGCAGCTTAAGAATATGGCGGGTTTAAACATTTTGTTAGCGCTCAACCCTCTACTAACCTGGGACAGTGGTGAAAACGCTGTAAAAATCAGTTGGAAATAGGGTTTTTCGACAGATTTATACTGAAAATAAGAACAATTGACATAAAAATAAAAGAGACAAAGAACCGATTAAGAATACTCGAATAATATTTAAACGACAAACAGGTGCGAATCAAAGATTTTGAAAAAAGGTACACAGTTAGGAGTGGGAATTGTAAAAAGTCTATGCACTAACCATATGTATGTAGCTCCATAAGGGGGCCTGGTCCCCATCCCCCTAAATCCGCTTCATGTCATCGATAAAACATTTACGAATGTATTCGACACAGATGTGTTCCAGTATAATGTATATCAGAATGTGTATTGTATACGACATCTTAACACATGACATAGGCAAAATCTCTTTGTTCTTACTGTGCTATAATCTGGATAATGCCAAGCTAAGGTGTAAATTAATTACATCAGATATAATGCACAGTTCAAATGTACTCTTAACTTTAGGGGCGGATTCAGGATTTTTCAAAGCCATAGGGGCGTAATTCCATAAAAAAGTTTTACGATTTTAAGACTAAACATCAAATTCATAACAGTGTAGACGAGACCATTCGTTGGCGCACTCAATTCTCTTATTGACTGGATCAGCTCAGGTAATCGTTTGTCTGTTACGCCTACTTAATACGTTGAATATTTTGACATTCTTCACCGACAATCGATAATAAAATTATTTATCATACCGCACATTCTTTAAACATTAAAATAAAGTTTCACTAGCTTCAAAAGTATATATGAATGTGCAAGCAATAACCCTTTTCGGACTTAAAAAAGATTTTACTATTGTCGCTTTCTAAAATTTGTACTGGCTCTTCGTATTTTTTTGACTTTTATCTTGTCTGAAAGTATTCATTTTTAGAACGAATGCATGATAACTTTAAATCGTGGTGCAATTAAAAAAAATGAAAAAATATATTTTCGTACGGTCTTTTTCGTACTTGCAAAATATAGAACAGTAAAAAGCTACATGTATTTGGACCTAGCATAATACAATTTGCATTTACTTAGTAAATAGTAATCATTAAATTACGTCCAACGTTCTATTGACTGACTCAACATTTGGACTAGATTATTCAGAATAATACGTTATAGTTTGATGAATGGGAAACTGGAATCTTTCTGCTGGTTGCAGAACCACTTTTTTTTTGCATGAATGATTGAGGACCGCTTAAAAAAGTGTGTATCCCTCCGAAACATAAATACATTTAATCAGGACGGGTACACTATCATTCATTGGTATACTAACGTTCCCGTTAAAATAATTGTTTGATTGCATAATAAGCAATGTTTATTGACTTAGGGAATTGACCAATCCATTGAATGGGTTGCAATGCATGATGGACTACTACGTACTTTATCGAGAACAGTGACCTTCAACACACTTTTTCTTCTTTTGTGTCTACGTTTAATAAAGCATAAGTAGAGCATTTGCATTATTCACGTATCTGGATACGTGCACGGATCAACGTATACGTTTCGGACAGATTTGTATAAAATAATGATTTAGCCCCGACCTCAATTAAAACTAAACAGGGGTAAAATATGCACCAAATGTTGGAACTTTGCACAGACATCATAGGGATACTTTAAGTAGGGTTGTTTGTTTATGTGCAGTTCTTGCAGCCCGAAGAACCAATTTGTTTTTTTAATCTATAACATTGGGTTTATTAATATTATATTTATGTGACTTTTTTGATATACAATTAATTCTTGTTATTGTATGTTATGCATTATAAAATATCTTCATCGGGACCAACTTCACTTAATTTATCCGTTCCACATATACGTGTTATACGATATGTCGATACGGATACGCCAGCAAATACGTGAATAATGCAAATGCTCGATATATTGTATGCTCAGTTTAAAATAACAAACGTAGAGTTCATGAACTGTAACACCTGATACTTTGTAGTTTTATGACAAACAAAACCCTGTAACAGTGTTACAACCTATGTGTTACAATTATTCTGGTTTTGGTGGTGGTGGTGGTGGTGGTGGTGGTGGTGGTGGTGGTGGTGGTGGTGGTGGGGGGGGGGGGGGTGGGGTGAATGGAGCTTCATACATGGTTAATGCATAGACTTTTAACATGTCCTATTCCTAACGTTGTCTAGTGCCACCCCACCCTTTTCGTTTTCAAAATACTGCATCTGTATCTGATTTCCTTATACGGATATGTAATACTTAGCATTCTAATGCTTCCGCCAATGCATGTACATGTATCAGTGTTTGTTTACAAATATTGCATTTTTTTTTTCGGCAATTGACCGACCAATGAGTGAATGAGTTGCAATGCATGATGGACTACTATGTGTTTCTCTGCACATTTATTGTTATTTCAAGTGAAACTGTTGGGTGTGATGATAATAAGAAAGTTTAAAACCAATTCCTTTTTAATTTTGTGGAAAGAAAGTTTAAATTAATGTATTGAAATGTGAAACAAGTGATTATTCAAGTCCCCACTGGAAGGCCTCTGACAGACTGAGTGAGCGTAAAATCATTGTTATCGATAGCCGATGACAAACAAGTTAAAGGTAAATGATTCGGTATTATTAAAAACATAATCAATACGGTTGTCCACACTGTTATGGGACTACCTCTATTTTTCCAATCAAAGGGGGACGTACGCTCTCTTATATGTTATACTTATTGACCAAGCAAGTCGGTATATGTCATTTCATCTGAACGACTGATGACCCTGCTTTATATTTATACAAATAAACAAAAAAAAATTATTAATCTATACTTATCAACCCTTTCATTTGAATTTGTCGATTTAAAAGTACATTAAACGGAACTACAACTGTTGGAGATGTGGGTTATACGCCAATAAGACAACAATCAAACGACAAAAACCACATAACCACATCTAGGGGACAACATATAGTGTTCAACAATAGACAGCTAGGTGTCTAAATAATATGTCAAGTTCTAATTCGTTTATGTCGGTTCAAAAATGTTTATATTGATGGCGTACGTCATGTGTTAAAACAGTTATTGACCAATCAAATCGGTATATATCATTTAATCTGCGCGGTTCGGGTCAAGCAGGGTACCCTGAGCCGTGCAGATGAAATGACATATACCGACGTGCTTGGTCAATAACTTTAACTTATCGAAATAAAGAGAGCATGCATTATTTTTTCTTCAGGAAGGGATCAAAAGTAAACAAAAGTAAACAATGTATTATTCCTTTTATCATTATTATTTTGTCACATGAAGTTCAATTTGAAGAAACCTCTTGAAATGTTTATTCTGAGTTTTGCAAGTCAATGCATTTGTAAGAATGAAAAATAAACCGTGACGCCGATGTTAAAAATGCATTCATCTATGAAACGACGGCACACAGTTCACATAATTTACATTCAATTTATCTCATAAATGCATTCAATTCAATCATACAAGAAAAGTGAATTATTCTCACCTTCAGAATTATATACACGTACTAGTATTAAAATCACAACTAACAAAAGTATTACTCTACTATCATCCATTGTTGTTTCCGTTATGGAAGGAAGTAAGGTTATAAGTGTTAGGACGGTTGATGATTCAACCAAAAGTAGTTTATATATTAAGTTTAAGATCACATTGTCACACTCTTTTTATAGATATGCACAACAAAAAGGATTAATAAATACAATTTGATAATTAAAAACAATTGATGGTTAACTTATAATTAAGGATTAAGAACTACCACTATATATGCATCACGTTTAAAATGAATGTCCTTTGAAAAACTCAAGCACTGCCAAAGAGATAGGGCCAATTTTCACTATTATCGTTTCGTTCACAGGCTCAAAATCTAAAAATTGTCAAATTCTTTTAAAATTTGAATATTTAAATAGCATGTGTCATGTGTGTACTTTAATATTTTCATTAAATCAAAATGCTATTCAACACTTCATATGATCACGTAATATTTCTGTTAAAGGCATTTTGACACAAATTTGCAAACTTCACATGATTTCGTACATTTTTGTATAAAAGGACGTCTATCACAAAATGAATTGCGTTGTAACCGAAAGACAATAAAAAGCTTTATTTCAAATTTTGTGATTGATTGATTTTTGTTTTTCAACGCCACTTTCAGCATTTTTGGCGATTTTAAGAAAATGACGCCAGTGTTAAATAAATTATTGGAAATTTGTACTTCATATGTACCTCGTTGAACCTATATCTTAATCTAAATATATTGGCTATTGGTTTATATCATACCATTTAGTTTCAACTGTAATACGCAGATATAATTTGAAGCTAATAATGAAAAGTGAATAATCATGCATTATAAATGACCATCTTTATACATGTACATATTAAATATATGTATGCCTGATATTTGTATAGTGTGTAGTAGGAAACAAAATCAATACTTATTAAAATGCTAGTGATATTCACTAAAAGGTTATCTACGTTAGCTTAAAAAAAATGTAAGAAGACATCAAGGGGGGGATTTGAAACCTTAAATCTAGGAACGACAAGCAACAACATGGCTAAAAGAAACAAAAAAGACGAAAAGACAGCTGTCGACAAAACAAATTAGAGATAGACTCAGGTACTCCGGAAGGGTGTAAAATCGTTTTTCACTAGTGGTGGCAAGAACAATTCATGTTATGAATTACTTTTGGGTACAATGTATGTTAAAAGAGGAAAGAAAAAAGTATTGTAGTTAAATATAACGGGGATGATGGAATTGTTATTATGAATGATGGTACATTTTTAGAGTCAAATCAGGATTCAGAAAATGGCTATACGATAGGCTTAGTTACTTTTATTTTCAATAATACCAATTTATTTAAATCCTTTTTAAAAGAGAGGCAATTAAACCAAAGGGACATCCAAACGCATTAATTGAAAACAAACTGACAATGCAGATATCAAAAATAAAAACGACCAGGAGACAAACAACAGTACACTAAACACAACATACAAAACTAAAGACTGACTAATTTGATAGATGGATATCCAACTGTCAGTTAAGATCTTTGTTATGTCTTTTGTATTTTTGTTTTTGAAAAATTTAGGAACATAGAAACACTTGCTTAAATTATGGAATGAATATTTCAAAAAAATAAGATTTTGATTTTAAACTACATTATAACAAAAATTATTTTTTACAATTTTCATCAAATATATATATATATATATGCATTTTATTTTTTTACACCGAAAATCAATTTAGGATATCATATTTTACCTTCATATTAGTTTTCGTTTAATAGATGTTTCTCAAAATTTGTGATTTTCTAAAAATTAAAATAACAAAAATACCGAACTCCAAGGAAAATTCTAAACGGAAAGTCCCTTTGAATGACAAAATATTCCTGACTTGGTACAGGCATTTTTCTTATGTAGAAAATGGCGGATTAAACCTGGTAGTATAGCTAGCTAAATCTCCCACTTGTATGACAGCCGCATAAAATTCCAATTTATTGACAACAATGTGTGAACAAAACAAACAGACATAATAAGTAAAAATTTTAAAAATAAGGTACAGAGGTCAACATTTAAATATAATCTTAATCACTATAATGAACTTACTTTTACTTCAATTTCTTCCCAAATTAAAATAAAAACCAAAAATTAACACATCTCCAAATGAAGCACAACAGCTGCATATAATTGAATCCCCCCCCCCTCCCAAGAAAAAAAAAATATTTTCTTAATGAAACTTTTTTTTAAACTAAGATTTTTTCAAAATAATTTTTCAAATTTTCATAACAAAAATAACTTGCAGATCAACCTATTGATAGAAGCGTGTGGGATTTTTTTTCATTCGAATAAATACACATAAATAATTTACTATTTGAATGTATCTTATGGAAGAAAAAATAGGTACATCCGTTTTTTTAATTTTTTGTTTGACTTGGACAACAAGCATATATTATACACAACAACTGTACACAATTGCATTCTCGTTCTATCAATACTGTCGGAGTGTTTGCGTTTACAAACACTGTTGACAAACAGACGGACAAATGGGAAAACTGAAACTGTTTGACTCACGAATCCCGGGACATCTACATCTAGCATTAACATTTAAGATGTACATGATAAAAGTTTAAATTCATCAAAAATATATATTAGATTCAATGAAGTAAAATATTATAGTGTCTAATACTTAGTAGCCATTTATTTGTCATACTTCATTGACTGTACGACCATTAGCAACAAATAATTTAGGTATTATTCAAAATGAGACGAACACACACATAATTTTTTTTTGTTAATGTTTGCGGATTCAGAAATAAATATGCTGATGTGTTGAAACGAACAGTGACTTAATGTGTTGTACAACGTAGTAAATACTGCTACAATTGCATGAATTCATTATTTGTTCCTTAAATTCTAAACTAAACCTTAGAAAGAGTTTTGCATGTTCTTTTAATACCTGTTATGTTTTTATATTTCATTGTCTGTAGAAATCATGACAGTCAGATGTATTATAGTCTATGACATTCTTAATGAGCGACCTTTGTTGCGAATTTTTAGTTAAATATACTGTATCAGAAACCTCTAATCCTCTGAGGATCAATTTTCATCTAGGAATGAGACTGTCAGTCGTACAGGTTATAAAGAATCTCCTAAACATTATTTCCCTATCATTTCATAGGTCATGAGATAGAAAAATTGGTTGACAAAAATATATTGTCAGTGTGTTAACATTGGCAGTTTTATGTTATCCCCTAAACTTATTCCTTCTATCCACAACATTTTAAAGTAATCACTGTCCTTTTTTATACCTTGAAACTTTTTCTCACGGTGTTCTTAAACCAGTTCCTTTGGTAAATTTTCCTTTTCCTGATAGTATGGTTAAATGGGCTTCTTATGAAGTGTACATTTCAAACTTTTGTTTGATATGCATGTGTTTACAGTGACAGCTTTGATTTCAACAGGAATACTACATCTTACATGTATCACTATATCATGTCAATGTTTTTTTTAAATATCATATCACTTTCCAGTGATGAACTTAGTGGTATGGTTACAAAAGATGATTATGAAAATTGAATTTAAAAAAATTGTTATTTTTAGACTTCAACAAATTAAAATTAGTCGTTTTTTTGTATGGGATATAATGATAATTAATGAAAATACATATATACATTGTGTGTATTCAGTTATTTGCTATATCATAATTATCCTCTGTTGTCGGACCATAGGCATGGTCGTATGTCTGATCGGTCACAGTATTCTGTCTGCTGTGAGAGGCAATGTCATACAGAGTATCTACAGCTCTACTATATATGCCCTGCTGATGATCAGAGCAGTTATGTCCCCTTGAAACATCATACTGATCTTCATGAAATACATAATTGTCTTTTTCAGATATAGTTCCGTTTCCATCATAATTAGACCCATTCATTGGTTTTGACATTTCGTAGTTATTTTGTTTAGAATGAAAATTTCTTAATTCAGGATTTCTGGAAATCTCAGAATTGCAGTTAGCAGACAGTTCTATGTTTTGATTTCCAATGATATCAGCGTTTTCGTGGTGACGATCTGTATTATGTTTGTCATCTGTTTTGTTTCTGTAACAAAAAATGAAATGTATGAATTATGGAATTAATCTTTCGATTAACTTGATGTTAAGCGCATTTGATGAGTGTTATTTACACGACACGCGCGTTCGCGTCCTTTATAATTAGTTTGACATCTTTGATAAAATTGTGCTCTCTTACTAAGCTCGCTCTATTTTATATAGAACTTTTAAATGTCGTGACTTAAATGTGTAACCCCTAGTCAAACTTTCCACCCTTCATCTCTGTGTCCACATTTTCGAAACAACTAAATTTGATTCCAAATTGTTTGATTTGTTCCTGTCCTAAATATGATTACTGACGTTTAGAAAACTTAAATCAGTTATAGATTACTTACTGAAAGTTAGTACCATGATGAATTGTTCAATCAGTATACAAATAATAACTTTCAAATAGGATTTGATCAAAACTCGTATCATGAAAAATGTAAAGTACTGCATGCAACACAAAATGAGTTTAACGTTCTGAAACATGTAAATCAACTCTGTCCCGATGCAATGCCTTATCTTATCGTTACGACAAAATTGTTCCAGCAGACAAAGCCTCAATCAATATGCTTTTGATATGCATAAACCCTTATTTGGAATGTTTTACTAAAAAAATGGAATGTCTTATTTAAGAACTTGGAATGTCTTACTAAAGAACATGGAATCACAACAAGACTACACCACTACATCATTCATGAAAAAGGGAGATTTTAGAAAATCACAAAAACGTCATTTTTCCATCAGTATTATCATAATAAAGGACGATGGAAATCTCCAATCTTTATTCTGGATACCTAAACTCCACAAAAGTCTTTATAAAGAACAATATATAGCCGGGTCGTCCAGATGTTCGATTAAACATGTTTCTAAAGTCCTTACTGCTTTCCTTTCTACAGTAAAAGATGGCTTTCAAAAATTTTGTTATGAGGTATATTCAGCCAGCAGTGTCAATTAAATACGGAGTCTTACAAATTTTAAACTCCAATCACAAATTTTGCATGTTTGCAGTACTAACAAAACCATTGCTTTTCTACGCTTTCCCCATGTTAAATTGAAAGATCTTCGCATCAAACAGAGCTTTTTCTACACAAAATGGGAAACGGAGATACAAAAAAAATTTTTTTAGGTCAGAAAAAATCTTACTTTGTGAAGAACCACACTTATTCCCACAGTAAATACACCGAGGATGATATTATCAACATGTTGGACTATTTGATTGACAATACATTTGTTAAGTTTGGTTGATTGATATTTCAATAGATTGTTGGTATTCCAATGGGTACTTTTTGTTCACCACTACTGACCGACTTGTTTTTGTACTTTCAACCAGAACTTTCTCAAAGACGAACAGAAAAATCATTTCAAATTCTTTAATGTCACTTTTAGATATATTGTTGATGATCTGTCGCTTAATAGCCCACATTTCAATGAGTGCTTACATCTCACATATCCTTGTGAACCCCAAATGTAGAAGGTCTCTTTCATATTTTGAATTTTTCCTTAATATTGACACAGATGGACGACTACTTCTCACCAGTGATATAACTTCTGCTCCATCGTATGACGTTTACATATTTCCGTTGATAGTTTACATTTTACATAACTATTCGGAATTTATTAACAGGGGTGTGCTCCTTACACAAAACCTGTTCAAACAGAGCTATGAGGGAGAACGACTGTAATCGACACTACAAAAGTTATTTGGTCACCTGCATAAATTAGTTGACCAATACGACGCGGTCTTAGTTCTTTAGATCTTAGTATAGTCGTCTGATCTGTAATTTTACCGGTTGTATCCTATTCTCGATTGCTACAATTTGACTGAATGTGAATTCCGATGACGGTTGATGCATACATAGCAGGAGACGCTAACCCTGTCGGCGTACCCGGTCTTGCTATTTCTGTGGTTCATGCGATTCCCCAAGGTTTTTTGTATTTTAGTTTGTCTCTTATTAATCAATTTACAAGTTTGAACATTGGTGAACTTTACTGTCTTGAGGTTTTCAATACTTGCATGTACTCATCTTATTTTATTCTTCCTTAATATCGTGCAGTTGGGTAACGCTTACAACTTTTGAGTATATAAAAGATTTACCTTCTAACAAACCATATATACACTACGACGACTCCAAAAAAAATAATAAGTCCAACTGTGACACCTACAGCAACACCTACATAACAGGAAATAAATGTATGTTATTCTTAACAAATACTAGCGTCGTCTTATGTTAATGCATTATATTTTTCAGTTTGCTTCAAATCAGGTAGACAAAACATAAATGACAAGTCTAATAATCTGCTAAACACTTACGATGTGGTCAAATTAAAATCAACAATACAATATGACATTAGAACAAAGAACTCATATTTATTCAAGTTGCACAAAATGCTATTTAACTATTGATAATGTAGTATCGTTTTAAATAAACTTGACAGAAATAGTTGCTTATGCATACCTTCTACATAACTTTCAGCCTGCAATGGGAGTACATTAGAAATTGCTAAAAAAGATAAATTAACAGTCCATTTATTATTAATTGATATATATTTGTTTTATATAATTAAGGTATTTACAGTTTTTAATTGTTAATCTTGGAAATAAATATTAAATTACGTGAATGAGTGTGTGTATGTGACAAAGTCAAGACTGGTCAAAAACCTTAGGTTTACAAATTGGGGTGTACTTTATTATTCCTGATTTTTATAGATTCTTTCAGAATACATAGATGTTTATTAACTGCTTAGAACGTTAAGTTTATATTTTCAGCAATGAATACTAGAACTTCGAAGATAAAAACAAGATAATTTAATGATTTACGTCAAATATGCCAACACTTCGAAAAAAAATTAATATGAAACTATCATATCACAGTCATGTGATCAAAATATAACATTTTATTAAAAAAAAAGGTAAAATAACAAAATTACCGATATGCAAGGAAAATGCTAAATGGAAAGTCCCTTTACAAATGGCAAAATCAAATGCTCAAAGACACCAAACGAATGGAAAACAGCTGTCATATTCCTGACTTGGTACAGGCATTTCCTTATGTAGAAAATAGTGGATTAAACCTGGTTTAATAGCTAGCTAAACCTCTCACTTGTATGACAGTCGCATAAAATTCAATTATATCAGAAATATCTGATGAAAACAATAAATCTAACTTACTAAATTGAAAGATTCAGCTAGATAATTCTCTGGTAGCAAAAATATAAACTAGTAAATATTTTATCTTGGTTTTAAGTAATTACTGAAGTCACACATTACTGTTTGTGTTTTTTATGCCTTGTTTTTGGTTTTGTTGCTCTTAACTGTTTAGTTTCCTAAGCATTTTAGCACAGTGTAAACGAGGAAGATTAATCCAGAGACACGAGTCTTTCCAACGATCACGTTTTGAATGAAGCGTGCGAACTATTCAATACTTTAATATTGATTGGTAATTATTATTATTTTTTTTAATTACTAGCGAAAGCTTATTGTGATTATATCTTAAACTGTATCACATTGTGTTAATTGTGTAAATAAAAACTTGTTAATAAATGTTCTTTGTATGCAAAATCTTTTAATACATGGAAGGAAAACAGATTCCGTTTGTAAAACATCTGAAAGGAAAAATATTGAAGAAAAATATTTCGGAAGGAATTTTGTAGTTATATGAAAGCAGTATCGTATCATGTGAAATCAACTGAAACAAATATGATATCATGCTTTACACAAATATTATGCAAACAATTCGTGCAATTTATGTAATTCGATGGAAAGCTCGCAAAATGCATAGAAACCCCTTGTATTTTATGTAATGATAAAAAGAAAGTATTTGATAACGATAATTGAAATACGTAATATACAAAAGACTAAGTTGAAAAGTTAACATAATTTAGACTTACCTTTACAGCTGAATGAGATATTAACAAACTTGAGTTCGTTCGAAGTAAGTTGTTCACATATTTTTTTTCCATTGCAGGATGCATTTACCTTCATTTGAATACATTCTGTGAAACGTTCATGCAAGTTTTGTTTCTCGCAAAACGATAAATACTGCTTTAATTCTATTGACTGAATTTCTATTTTTCTGTCAGCATGAGTACAATTTACTGACTTCATATTGAAGAGAAAAAGTGATATTATAGGCTTCCTATAGTGGTCATGATTACTTATATCTGTAAAAAACAAATAAGGAATATACTTTCCAGATCATTAGTCAGATGAAATTTGCATATCAAAAATTATTGGCGCCGTTAAGGACTTAATCCATGGAGATCAGATGATCATTGTAATAAGTTTTGTCTAATGCAATTTGTTTTATTGTTACACTTTAGAAAAAAATAAGTAAGAAATATAAAGCAATTGTAAATTTTACATTTGTATCTTTTCACCTATTAAAACTAATGTTAGAATTTTCTAAGTTAAATATGCCACTGGATTAATCTTTATACCTTTTGTTTTGGTGATTATAAGCTCCCGGTGGAGTTGTAGTTCACACGTGGAAGACATCCCCAGAACAAACAAATTATTTTTTTGATGACGTGTGGAATAAAGATATATTAATAGCTGTACATGCATCTTGAAATTAAATTATTAGAATTTTTGTTAACATTGATATTGCCCCCTTTGGATGTTCATTGCCATTAAATATAAATATTAACTTACGAACACAGTCAAATTCTATTGATAGTTTCCTTGTTTTGTCAAAAACTGATTGTGAAACATTGAACATTTTGTCCGTTAATACACACGAGTTGTGGCCAATACAAGATGGGTAAGACATTGAGTCCAGAGCTAGCATAGTTTCTTTATGAACGTCATCAGTGGTACTGCAAGCATCCTGTACGTCATGAAATGTTATGTTAATATCGTCTATTGAGTTTCCAACAGTACAGTTGAGATTTGCTTCATGATTTTCACATAACAAGCTTTCAAAGTATAACCCTTCAAATCAAACAAAAACACATTTGAATTGTTTGCTTCTTTTTCACTGCAAAGAAGAGGATGGTTATTTGTTATCCTATTATTTTATATCTTAAAAATTGTGGTAAAAAAACCGTCTGAAAACAGCTACTATGTAGGTTCATAGAAGTTTAGGAATTTAAAATGCTTCATTCTTCCATTTTATGTTAATTTTACTTTTTGAGAAGATGATCTAAATATTTGAAATTGAAATATTTCAATAAAATATGATAATGACGTCGATTGTAAACAACTCTTACTGACAGGTTTATCCACACATTATAATATATGACCATCTATTTGGAAGATATTTTGGGTAAGAATGTTTTTCCAAACTGAAAGGCTAGGCAATTTGTTTATATTTTGTTTAAGTACATATGCTTATGAAAAAGAAAAAAGAAGTTTTATGACAATATAATAAGGATGCTTTTGTTTAAAGAGACAAACACTTGTATTAATCTGCATGATATCTTCAACAAATAATGTCAACATTTGAGGAAATCTATTAAGAATATCTTCATATTAACAATAAACAATTTTAACTGTTACAATCCTGCTTTGTTGCATGGACATCTGAACGAAAGAAGTGGATAGAACCGGATTTTTTAGCGTTCCATACCTGATACTTGATTTCAATCGTTATTAACAATCAATTTTATAGTTTATACCTTCATTTGAATGTGTTGGTGTATCCAAACATCCCATTCACCCGAACATACAATTTGAAAGGACTCGTGTTTTCGTCTTAAAAGCCTAGTATACATATTACTGTGACTTGACTGTAAGTGTTGCTCTCCACCTATTGCAATTTATTAAAAATTCTGACCAAATTGCAATTTGTTTTATAAAATCAAACTGTTCAACTGGTCAGAAATTTGAACAAACTGCTGTAGAAAACCACAGCCGAGTCGTGAAAGTGCAAGGCGATAAAATAAAGCAGACTTATAATCCTATAAGACTTTAATTCAACATCAATGTTATTATGAAAAATCAGTCTAACAGTTTGTATAGAAATTTTATTGTTATTGTCATGCTAAAGGTGATGGGTAGTAATTTTGAATTGCTGTAAAAATGTCCAAACAAGCTTTCATACAATTTTTCTTTCGAAAAGTCTTCTATATACATAAAAATAAGACATCATTAGGCACCACATGTGGAGCAGGATCTGCTTACCCTTCCGGAGCACCTGAGATCACCCCCAGTTTTTGGTGGGGTTCGTGTTCTTAGTCTTTAGTTTTCTATGTTGTGTCATCTGTACTATTATTTGTCTGTTTGTCTTTTTATTTTTGTCCATGGCGTTGTCAGTTTGTTTTCGATCTATGAGTTTGACTGTCCCTCTGGTATCTTTCGCCCCTCTCTTGAATTATAACATCTTACATTCAGTAAAATATATGTGAAATTACAATACGTTGTTAATAAGTTTCCATGAGAGATAACCTAAAACATTATTCTTTTGAATATAGAAGACTTTTCGAAAGAAAAATTGATTATCTCCCATGGAAACTTACTAGAAACGTATTGTAGTTCCACACATATTTTACTGAATATAAAATGTTTTAATTCAAATGATGTCTGATTCTTATGAATATAGAAGACTTTTCAAAAGAAAAATTGTATGAAAGCTTTGTTTGGACATTTTTATAGCAATTCAAAATTACAACCCATCACCTTTAGCATGACAATAACACTAAAATTTCTATACAAACTGTTAGACTGATTTTTCATTATAACATTGAAGTGGAATTAAAGTCTTAAAGGATTGAAAGCTTTATTTTACCACCTTGCACTTTCACGACTTGTTTGTGGTTTTCTACAGCAGTTTGTTCAAATTTCTGACCAGTTGAACAGTTTGGTTTTATAAAACAAATTGCAATTTGGTCAGAATTTTGAATAAGCTGCAATAGGTTGAGAGCAACACTTACAGTCAAGTCAGAGTAACAAATTGTTGAATTGTTTGAAACACTAAGGTTTATCTACTCTCAGCATAGATTGCCTGAACTGTATTTCGCACAACGTTTTTATAAATGCTCTTCATCTTCGTATTTGATCATGGCATACTAACTGTTTTGATTCGAGTGTAGACGAAATGCGCATCTGGAGTACCAAATGATTAACCTATATATTTCTATGAGTTTGTATACAACCACACTTGATCCAGCATTCCAAATCAAACTCCACGTGGCTTTTTGTTTATACACACCGCTTAATACATTCTTTCGCGTCTTTTTGTATTTGGCAAGTGTATCTTTTTACAATTTTTTTGTATAATTTTAAGAAAAGGTCGTCTCAATTTTTGTACATGTATTTGCGGTCTTCTCGATCTATTCACATTCAATGTTTACATCGGAATAAGGTCTGTTTGAATTTACTTCGTGACTTAATTTCAAAAGTGTTAATCTTTGCTGCAAATCAATTGATTCCTTTGGATTTTTTTCCCTGACTTTCTAATGTGTTTGAGCTTTTAATTTTGCCATTTGATAAGGTACTTTTCGTTTTGAATTTTCCTTGGAGTTCGGTATTTTTGTTATTTTACATTTTCTCTGATCTAGCTGC